AGCGTAGAGTTCAAAAGCTTACAAAAGGAAATAAGATACGAGAAATTATAAAAAACCCACTTTGGGTTCGATCCGCATCCAGTTCCTGAAAAAAAGTTTTTAGAAGTACAAACAGAACTCGACGTAAAAGTTTTTAGCCTGCTTCGCCTGTAACTCGAAGATGATGCTGCGAGCGAACTAATAAGCATGCGAAAGACGGCATATTTTTTAATAACGGCTATTCTGACATGGAAATATTGCAAAACCGTAATATGCAGTTTCTCAACCGGCTATATTCGTGGAAATTTCAAGAGGAAAGGAAACTCACACTAAAGATATTAAACCGATAGGTAAATCTGAGGTAAATCAGGGCGATATATTTATTGTTATAATGATAGCCAAGTTCTAAGAAAATGATTATCAGCTCATGCTAAATCAAAATTAGGTGGAACTATAAAAATTAGAGCTTTTTATCTCAATCGCAACATTTCTACACAATCACATAACACTATATTAAAGTCATTTGCAAATTAGTGAAAAAAATGGTCATCAATCGAGCAAAAGCATTTACCCGGTGCCACCGTTGAGTCCGAGCAGTATCCGCAAGTCTTTCTGCAGTATCGCTTAAAATATACAGTGCGATTTATTCCATTTTTTAGTTTCGAGCCAGCATCAATGATTGAATGTACGATAATTATTTGTAAAGAAGGGCTTCACCTACCCGTGCGAATGAGTCCAGGTTTTTACTCTGGCAAATAACTCCGCCACTCAAATTGCAGCCAGGTGCTTCATCGACGCAATTACCGGAAATTTGGGAATAATCACCGACATAAATAGCGAATTCTTGAACAGAAAGACCTATGTGCCTTACGAAACCGTTTTCATGAGCCACGGCGTTGGCACGCTAACAGCATACTGGATGAGCAGCCATTATGGTGACATCATCAGAGTATGTCAACAACGAAGATTCTTCAACGCGCAGAAGAAATGTATTTTTCTCCCTTTCCGAAATGAAATCTATCAGTTTTATAGGATTTTCTGAGCGCGATTCGATAAGAACGATGGAAACCGGTTTTTTGGGACCTGTTGTGTAATAGAATTGTAAAAGATTTGCTTCAAGAGATTACTCCTTTTCCCTTGACGGAAGAAAGCGCAGCCGAGGTGTCGCAGTGGCCCTTATTTGATACGGGCTCACGCGATCGGCATCCACATAAATTTGAGGTTTCCAATCGACCTTAGACAACTGAACATGTCGGTTCTTTCTTTGCGGGGTTATGGCAATGTATATATACAATTTATATTCCCCGATGATGCGAATGTCGCGTTGAGGATTGTTGATGTTACAATATTACAATGCCCCCTTACTTAATGTTTCACAAAGCTTTTCTGCAACCGTAGACTGCCTCACTTTCTGTCAAATCATGGGTGGTTTATTGCAACTAGCACCAATACAAGATGAATATGTTTTTAAATCCAGAAATATTACTAACAATATGACCAGAACAGTGAGCAGGGCCTCCGTTAACACACACTATAAATTGTTCGATATAGTTTGAACCACTGCGGAATAAAATGGACAACCAGCACCAACACCAAAAGGCGGTGAGTATTACAGACGATGCGGAGGTTTCGACAGAAGATCATTCATCGAAGGTAACCTTCCTCTTACTGTTACATTTCAAGAGAAGGGAGTGAGGCAACTCAAACATGTATGGTCAATAGCGCTTTGCGGGGCATGTTGACAAGCTGCGTTTTTGAACCGCTTTGAGCGTCCCACTGTCTTCCCGACAGGGTAATGATTGTCTGAGGGAAAATATGTTCCCGTTTTATGAATTCAAACTCTTCGCAACAATTGCAACAGGAAAGGAAAATCCATAAGGAAAATTTGTGGTTCTCTTGGTGACCGCTCTGGAAACAGCAGAAAACTCGAATGCAAACTTGAAATAAAACCACTTTACAAACAATAAAACCACACAGGTTTCGATTTACATGAGGCTGAGGGGAGGGGGAGGGGGGTCTGTGCTCATTTTAGGCGCTGCTCCTGATTATTTTGTGTTTGTAAGCCGTGCCGTGTAAGACCGTTATAAGGCAAAGCATAGTACCTTTCCTTGCCTACGAAACACCACAGCGTACACATAAGCACTTATACCGATTTCAGTCGAATGCGAATGCAGCAGAAACGCAGTTGATTTCTGGAGCATTCTCAAGCATGAGCCTAATACCCTAGCGAAATAGTTCGCTTTCAGCTAAGACAGTGGCTGACGTAGGAGCTCAGGCTTTCCATCTCTAAAGTTGCTACTATTTGTTATGTTGAGCTACTATACCTTAACACGTTGGCGACATCAAGTATTTTGGCATTTTTCGCAGCGTGGGACAGGAGAAATTTTGCGTTGCGCCGTCCTCACCTTCCTTACTCTTGTTTTCTGTTTGATGCCCAAAAATTTGAATCTCACACAATCATCCCGGCAAGGATGGAAGTTTATACAGGTTACTCACACAAATACCAGTAGAAGTTTGTTTAGAGAAGCCACAATGATCACGAAGAAGCAAAAAAAAACTTCGCTTTCACTACGAATGAAGTAAAAAGCATTTATACCTTAGTTTTTCCATCAAATACAAATATTTGAAACTCACAGAGTTTTGTATTAACTGCTTCTACAATCTTTCATATGAATGTTTACGACAGTGAAAGGAAATACTAGGAAAGAATTGAATGAAAGTTTTGTGCGTTCAGAAAATCTTTGCTAAATCAAGGGATATTTGACCACTCTGGCTGCCATGTGGTTTATAGTTATGCTAATGTATTATCTATAGAATGAATACAAAAAACTCGAGAAGAAGGAGCGCAAGCACATAAAAATGAGTGACATGGTTCTGACGCGCATGCGCGTGGGCCCGTCGTCAACATGTTAACTTTACTTCGATATGGTCACTCCGTTGAGAAATTCTGAGCGAGAACTGGCACAGAACTAAACTTATTCGTTCCGGTGACAGCCACAAGAGGCCTCCCATGTGAGAAGACGTGGCAAAACCTACGTTTTTGTGGTTTACTGTACTGAACGTTGACTTGCCCACGTTTTGCATGAACGCTGGCCGCTATGATCCGGAACTGAAGACTTTTCAAGGGAGACACACTTTTACCGCAAACTTGTCATTACTGCTTTACAAAATGAAAATTTAGAAAAGTAACACACAGTCCTCTTGCTCCACCGCTATCTCCAAGATTTCCGGGAACTCATGGGGAAAGTGAACCTATAGGGAGTATTCAGTGTGTTGTTTTGTATTTTTTGAGTATTTGTTTTTTTTTTGAAGAACAACATTCTTCCATACTTCCAGGTCTACAAATTCCCCAAGAATATTTGTTCTACCCCTGTCAAGAAAGGCAATTTTTCAGTTTCGTGACCCGTTTTCTTTTGGCTGAATGCTTTCCAAGAATTGAATTGCTTGCTTCTATTGAAATCAGGTGGAGGTCGACTGTAGTGAGGTGGAAGCCGGATTTTGAAGGAAGGATGGTGCGTCGATGTCGCTTATATGGGATGCACGAGGTCTTCCAGTTTTCTGAGCTGTTCATACAAGATTTCTGACTCTAGCAAAACTGAGGTGTGGAGACTCGTTTGCGAGACTTTCGATGGTGGCAAAATTTCTGCGTGACTCCTTTGCTTGCAAGAATCCTTCAGAAACAATCGGTGAGCACTACCCTTTCGTAAAGTTATAAGTGAACTAGCAGCAATTATAAGCAGAAAGGAAAGTAGCATATGATGAGAATAAGTAATTGCTTCAGTATCAGGAACAATGCACTGATCCAAAAAATGTTCCATTCATCACGTGAAATTTCTAGCTTTGCCTAGTGTATTTATTTTATAGCCTATAATGTCGCACCCTGCTATGAAATCCAATATGATATAAGTGTAAAATATATATATATATATATTTATTGTATAGGCTTAATGTCGCCGCCTGCGTATTAAATCCATGATTGATAAGGTGTTTAAAATCATTATATGTTATATATAAATTGGAGGTTGCAACATTAGTGAATGAAGCTGCTAAGCATTACCGTAACCGTTGTATGAGCGAGTTTCAGATAAGTGCACAGGTTTGTTACTTCAGCCGAGACAAACCTGAATCACAAAAACCGCAGGTTTTCGGGCAATCCTCTTCAAGAATACTCTTCCAGGCATTATTTCGCACATTGTCTTCGTAACTGACGAGCATGGTATCCTTGGCTCTAAAAGTTTTGTCGTTTGGACGTTGTAAGCAGTTGCCTGGAAATATTGCTGGATGGTGCAGCGAACAAAAAAAATCGCATGAAGTCGCGATTACATGTCAGCTAGGGGCGGAGACTGCACTACGCAGGTCTGTCATTGCATGAAAGGCGGAGAGAAGTGTGAGACAGCAGTAGCCACACCTCTTGGGACAAAGATCAACCGCCGCTTGAACCAGCTGAGGATCCTAGAAGAAGCGCAGAACGTATAGATTATTTGTTTTGAGGTCCAAAATTATTAAGGGTAATCATTGAATGTGAAACAGTTTACAGGGATGAGAGCAAGATTACTGGTGCCCAAAGTGTTTCCTCGGCTTCCGGGGAGTACTTGTGCAATGATTCAGTGCGCTGAGCGATGAGTTGATTAGTAGAAGGGGGTGACATCGAGAATCCTTTGAAACGGGCTGGGGGCTTTGCGAGAGATGGGGAGGTTTCCTTTCAGACACTTAGGCACAGGCTTTGCAGACAAACGTATTGCATAGGCTTTTGCTAGCGATTTGTCGCTCAGATTTGTAGAAAGCGTCGGCGTCCCGGAAGGTCATGGGTATCGTATAGCTCAACAGTTTTTTTGCGAGTGAAGGGTGGGGGCCCGATCGTGTAAATCAGTCGGTATGGAATCGGGCAGAACCAGGAATAGATGATTGGTTCGAAATGGGTGAGTGTAGAATATGCTGCTTGGCGCCACTTTGTCGGTCGGTAGGCAGCTATTAAATGTGGTGTTGAAGTGAATTGCGGCGGCTGGAACGTGGCATGGTGCTGGGGGGTGGGGGCTAACTCGGGTTCCAAAGTGACGCGCACATTGTGAGACAAGATACGAGTGGAAAGGCTTTTTGATTGTGGGTTGAAGATTAGAGTCAGAAGTAGGTTTGAAGACGTGGCGTGCGCACTGGGCGAGCTTGTAGAGTCAGAAAGGGCGGTAGGTTTCCATGTCCGGGCGTATATGGTATGCAGGCTGGATGGAGCTAGTGGAACGCTTTTATCAGTATTGGCCTGTTGCTCGCGTCTCAACTGTGCGCATTCGGGTTGTGGACGGCACATTACCAGGTTGTTGTCTCATCTCACTCCTAGGTATAATATGTGAAGAACCGATAGTGGGCGCGATCGTGCGTGTGACGCTAGAGCTGGTACGGGAAGGTTTCCGATCGCACACACATACATACACACACCAACAGACACACTTAGCCCATTATATATAGTAGGATGATACATCTCACGACAGGCCCAGTGTGTTATGGGCGTGTGCGGCGGTAATGTAACAGGCAGAAAGGAGATTGAGGTGATACTCAATGACTTGAAACAGTTCACTAACCCCATAAGCTGTGATTGTAAGTCTTGATTCGTGAGGAATCTAGAAATGTGTTCTTGGATATTTGTGGGTATGGTATTAACTTTTGATTTTCAAGATTCAAATGCAATCAGAACCTGCTTACTGACGGAAAGGGGACTGTTTCTTGATCGAGACTCAATGAAATCACGTACTATCGGATCTCCGCTGCACTTCGGATCTCGCTCTGCATCATTTCCTGCGACCGCTTCTTTTTGGTATAAGAGGGCGCAATTGGTAGACGACAATTTATCCTCACAGTTTACTGCAGATTCGGCGAAAACAAACTGAAAAGGTTGAGGTTTGAGTCACAACCACAGAAATCGCCCGCAGATGTCTTCACTTCACAAAGCAATAGTAAAACATAGAACCTCTCATTAAAAAATCGGTCTTTACGTGGGAAACCACTCCAATCAAAGAAATAATCATAAAACAGAGGGGTGAATATGGACCTAATGAATGCGCTTCGGTTCAGGCTACCTTATTATTCTTGTATTTTTTCGAAGCCCGATTTGGAGGCTGTATGCTTTTACCACGAAATAATGATGGAAAGGTGGTGAAGACAAATGGTAATGTGAAGCTCATTCTGATTCATTCTGACAAATCTTGTTTATGAGCATTATTATTATGCCTGAGATATTCTACAACGCGCATTCTCAAAAAGTTCGTTCAGTCGTTGATAGAGAAACCTCAAAAATTGAAGAATTCTAGAGCGCTAGCAATGATTTCCGTAATTTTCTAATTGTTAAATGCGCTCTTTGACAAAATGAAGCGACCTACCTTAGAGGTAGTGCCATCATATGTTGTACAGTTCTGATCCACAGCTGCCCATACATTCCTACGAGCAGCACTGAAGACAGTAGAGCGAAAAGCATTGTTTCTCTAAAAAATTTGCAATAATTATGTAGATAAGTGAAAGCAGGGAATTTGGCAAGGTGCTAACTGCACGGATAGTAGAACTTTTATACCGTTATCCTACCTCACGCTCAATGCAGCTGACAATGTTTTCCAGCTGAGCACATTGTAAATCATAGAAGAGATATCGCCATCGCGTCATTTGTGTCGTTGGCCCTCCAACCTCAGCCGCCCACACTGTTTTATTTCTGGCAACATTATTTCTGTTGTATATCAGCACAGATGGGGCGCTTGTGCCTGCAGTGCATCTCAACGAGAAGCCAAGGAGAACAGAACGACGAATCGAACAAGGGAGAATGATGTAGAAGAAAATATTGTGAACGATCTTTGCCCATTCCGATTCGATAAGCACGTCTTTTGCTCTGCTGTGAAAGATGTACTCGAGTATTCTGTGAACCTAACATACTTGGACTCGATTGAAGGTCTTCGCAAAGTTCCCACTCCTTACACTCCTGGCATGTTAGTTGCGACCTTCAGCTGCCCTGAGCTTTAGTGGGTGTTAAGGTGGAGCGCTGAATTCTAATAGTCCGGTGTTTTCACTGAATCGTCATCTATTCGAATTGGGCTTCACAAAGAGCTACTCGTGGAGATAATTGGAAAAGCTCGCATGCGTAAATTGGTGATTTCAAACAAAGGCAGTGTTATATGAAATCCAGTGTGGAGACACTTCTGATGCGTGCAGGTGACAGAGCTACATTGTGCATCTATTAGAATGATATAATATTTGCTAGTATTTTTTAGTATAGTCATTTTTAGCATTCAGGGAACCGCTCAGAAGGAAGTGTTCCGTGAATGCGCCACTACCTCACACAAGGAAACCGTTTCTAAAAGTGGAGTACGACCTGAAAGATCTTGCTGGTTAGCCCGGTGTCATACTTTGCGAATATGTGAAATTGCTGTCGCGTTCACAGATTCGCCGCAGTTCGAAGCGATTCTAGCGGATTTAACGATGTCCAGCAAGCTTTGTCGCTGATTCGCTTCCGCATCGCTCCCAGTCCTTTACTGCTGCGGAACGCCCAATGATTAGCGAATCCCTCTACTGTCCATCTATCCTATTTGCTTCAGCGAGGTTGACAGTAATTCGACGAGCCCTGATATCAGTTGAAAGGAGTACACTTGTTCGCTAGAGGGTGGACATGGTCAAGCCTCCATCGCAGAACTGAAGACATGGGTGCGAACATCATGAAGAACGGCTTCTCCTTGGACACGGTTTTTTGTTGTCTCGAGTGATGCTGGCTGCAGAGCTGTTCTCTGAAAATATCTGCTTTTCGGAAGTATAATGACGTTGATTACATGGACCAAAGTTTAAATTACATGTCTCATCTATCAGTGTAAGATCACGGACGAGGGACTATATCCTCTATGATTTTCTACATGCTGAAAGTGGTAAGGCTTCGCGGTGTGTTGTTTTCACTGTCGATGATTTTGTGTAACGTTTCAGTAATCCCCCGCCCCTCATGGCCCAAGTTTATTGCGGCACATACCAGGTCGTTGGAAAAATTTCTTTGGCTTCCATCTTTGGAGTCGTCCACGTTCCCCTTTTCTCCATCCTCGTCAAAAATCGATATGTTGAAAGGAGAAGAGCAACCCGTGCAAATGTGATGAAAGCGTAACCGTGAACAGGCTTCACGTTGGACCTTCCCAGAGACCTACACATGGCTTCGCTATCCCCCTGCTATGCACTTCGTCACAACAGTACTTACCACCAATTATTACAGGTTAGATTCAGCAGGTCCTTTGATAAAAACTGTTTCTCTTCCTCTGGCTTCCTCTGGGAATTCATCCTTCATTCTCGCGGGATTTTGCGCAGTTTTTTATGAACACGTACAAAACATTCATACCAGCCAGGAAAGGCTAGATTTGTCATGAGATCCCTTCAAAAATACCGATACCGGAGCTTTAAATATAGCTTTCCGTGCAAGATACAGCATAGTATTGAATCGAGAACGTTTTGCTTTTTCATCTTATTGTATCGTGTTTGAAATAGCAAAGCCATTCTGAAATAGCCATTAGGTTTGAAATCAAGCTGCTTCATATGACGTGAAGAGGGAATGAAAACATGTCCCACATTAGTACGTCATAGCAATCCCACTATGAGTTCCACAAGGCAAAGCATTTGAACTTGAAGGGTCACTACCTGGCTCCTAGAATGAGAAAATCCGCCGTCAGCTCACGCCAGAACAGCGCTTAAAGGTAGCGGTTACGATAAATTCACGAAGGGTTTCAGTGTGACGTGGTGGTGTTCAATGGTACCCCAGCAGCGAAAAAAAGCAGAAAAAATCCGTCAAGAAAACACAAAACGGGACCCTTTTTTGGCCATTGGTTTCAACTCGTGAACAGGTAACAGCTAAGAAAGAGGACGTATGAACGAGTTCACCGCAACGAATTTGATGGAACCATGCCAAAGTACGCTTTAATCGAGATACTCCATTTGCGCCGCTGCTGGTCACGCAGCTCGTCCAAATCAACAAGTAAACTTGTGGGCGGACGCTGCTGGGGGCCTGCTCAGCAACCACAGCACCTTTCGCCGTGGAAGCGCCACACATCGCTTCCTTGGCAGCCAAGTAATTGCTCCGTGTGGCGCAGGTTCTCCCCCGATGCAAAATTCCTTATCGTAATCGCTTTCTTTAAAAAAGTTTTGCTGCGCTGCTTTAGGGACTCGAAAGGAATGCTAATATACCACGGGTCGCTCGTTCCGGGCCGTGCGGTCATGGCTACTATCTACAGCAGTCTGCTCCATGAATTCAGTCATGCAGTTGAAGGTTTCTGCACATTTTCTGCACATGAGTGAAAGTTTAAATAAAACTCTAGAAGAATTTTAAACATGCATCCGAATGTCTCAGAATTTCTGCATCACCTAGTAATTTCTCTTTCAGAATCAGAGCTTGCGCGACCTCCCTCATCATCCTGTCCGACCGTGATTTGAATATACACTGCGCTTCATAATTCTAAGGTCAATATGGTATTTCCACAATGAGCGGATGGCTGGATTTTTTTTCATGGTCGGTAATATATTCCTCATACGGAATAAACCTGTGTCCCAATTTCCGTGGGAGCCCTTTTCGTCTATTTTATAAATGGATTTTGTTTCTGCACCGTTTCATTTCTAGAAGGTCACCAATCTGTAATGATTAAGTCAACGCAAAAATCAATAATCGAGGGTTTCCACTTATTGAACATTATATAGCACCTGCGGCATAATAAAATCGAGACCCCACAGTTGACCTATCGGTTCACCTCCGTGCTCGAAGGGTATTTGTGTGCATGGCACTCACCGACAGCAATGTCCGAGAAAGTCTTCATCAAAAAATACGAACAATAAAGGATAACAGGATAAAGCATTTGCCGTTGATCAATCCCTTTTGGGATGCGGCACGCATTCTACTTCCATTTGTACATTCGTAGTGGCGTTTGAATGCGATGTGGCCTATACAATGACTTGCGGGGGCCAGCCGATGTACAAGTCAGTGTTTTTATCCTCCCAGACAAGTCTGGTACCAATTAACCGACCCCGGAGGGATGGAAGGCTTGGTTGGCCCGGGCGACTCACGACCCAGGATTTGATCCCCGGACCGCTCGCGTGGTAAGCGTGCCACTTGCCACTACACCACTTCCGCCCAAATACGAACAATACTGCGGACTAATTTGTTTAAAAGGCTGGGTTTTGGGATTGTCGCCACTCTTTCCCTTCACAGTGTACTCCAAAGTAATCTTCGGAGTACATTGTGAAAGTCAGGAAGAAGAAGTTCTGGCACAACATCATTATAGAAAGCACCTTTCTCCACTAAAATTACAAGATCAGAAGTGAACCCGCCACTTTCGCAAGTCACGTTAGGAAACTTCAAACCCACAAAACTGTCTGAAGTAACCTTATTTTATCTCAACAATACCAACCTCGATGAAATTATCTAGCCGCACTGTGCAATTGTGACGCTCAGCTACGTCGTACCGCCTAACAATGATCAGTAAGCCTTGGGACAGTCTTCAATGCTTCCCTGAAAGTGTCGCCGCTTCTTTTCTTTTCTTTTCTACAGTTCTATTTTTTGACAAGGAAACGTTTAGTTACTAGCGAATTCTTGTTCCAAAAGGGAAGACTATGTATTTGGAAGCCCTCATTTAAGTGTCAATATAATATTGTGTAGGTGCCGAACTATATCTAGAGACATGAGAAGGTTTCGAATATCTATGACTCGAGAGAGGGATTTTCCTAAAGTCTCTGCGATGGCATCACTCATGAGCCGATTCTCAAGAGTCTAACCCGTTTTCAATACGAGACCACGACACATCCCGCAAATTTGGGTGATCGATGTTTTATAACAAGTACTCAGTTTGACAGTCAGATTTTGTCTCTTCATTTTCTCGGGGTCACCACTAATGCGAAACGAAAAAAAAAACTATAAAATAAAGGCTACGGAACGGTTCTCTTGCTTAACTGGGACACGAGGCTATTCGTAGTGAGGAATTAGGCCGCGATACTAAAAAAAGGCAAAAAGCTAGCAAAAAATACTATGCTGCCAATGAACGTCATGTTGGGTACACTTGCCTACCAAAAATGACATCATACTTTTGCTACCAAAAGTGACATCATAGTGTTTGGTCATGTTCAGCTGTGAAAATTGCATTGTAGTGGGAGAAAGCATTTGTATATTTCTTCTATTAGTAATCCATTGTTTGTTCATTTTTCCATTATATGTGGTTAATTTGAGACACGTGCATAATTTTCGCATCACCCTGGCTAAGTTTTTATTTTTTATTTTTCTATTTTTTATGTATACATTCAGCGTAGGCACACATTATCAGTAACAGATCGCCTACGCGTGTATAGATGCTCAACGCATCTCATATAGAGCTCCATTGATCTCTGGAAAAAAGATATAGATCGAATTCTCGATTTCGAGATCACGGTATGAAGATTCACATTTCTATTCCCAATAGAGAAGTGAGCAGGTGGGCATCCGGTCAGGGCTTGAGGATGTGGAAGGACCGTCCGTTCGAAAGTCTCCAAATTTCTTTTTGAGCATTGAGGGTCGGAGAGTACCATGAAAAGGTAGATTTTTTCTCTTTTTTCTTCCATGCTGAAAGCGTTGCGATGAATTGTGGATGGCTGGCTGGTGCATTCACTGTGGCCATTGCAGGTAGAAGTTTCCAGTGTTCAGTTCTTGTTCAGAACGACCGTCGAGGAGATTCTCAACAGGGTTGTTTTGCCTTGATGGGAGCGCAGGCTTAGCGCAAGAGTCAGGACCACACACAGCCGTGCAGGTGTCATTCAATCCTTGTTTTCGCTCTTTTGGAAATCATATATTCGGACTGAAGTATCAGTCCTGAGACTATTTGGGGTAAAGTTCACAAGAGGGACTGGACAGAAGTGAAAAGTCGTGGTCCACATGATCACTGCGATGGAATGACTAAAAAATACTTCCAGCAGAAAGAATAAGGAGGTTATGGGCACTAGAAATTGACCCTAAAAATACCATTGCTATAAAATCGACGCAACGGCATGATTCGATTCCTGCCCTAAATTTTAGCTTGGCAGCCATATTCCAAAATAAGAGCGCGAATAAAGAGAAAGTTTTATTGTTTCAGTAAATAATCCGAAAACGAAAATAAAACGTATCCCTTCCTTGTTCATACTGTCGCCTTACATTTGTTACAAATATCGGAGACCGGCATTTGGGGAAAGGTAGTGGGTAGGCTTCTGAAAGTGTAAAATCGTATACCTACAACCATGTCATGCTATGTGCATGAGCCTAGTAATTTTGACTTTTCTCAAAAACGGTTAGCTATTTGGAGTTAACCACGATTTTCGGTTGCTGTTCCGGCGCATGCGCACTATACCGCCGGCGTGGCGCTCTATAGCGCACTGTAGCAAGCACATTCGTTTGGGAGACGGTCAATTCAAGTCGTCGGCTAATGAGGTCACGCCGCTCACGCGGCGGGCAGCGTCGCGCGCGGCAATGGTGCGGCGATTTTTGTATGGGTCTTGGCTTAACGGTCCTTGTCCATAAGTTGCTGGTGGGGTTAGAGAACTGATAAGACCAAAGTTCCAGACATCAGTGAGCCAACAAGAGTCACCTTAAGATCTCCGCAGTTATTTAAGCCTCACTGTACAGAGCTTGTGCCATGTAAAGGTTGTCCTTTTGAACATAATTTGACTTCTTTATTAATCAACTGCCTGAATTGTTATCAGAGAGCGATAATCTGGCTAAATCGGAAAAATATTACGTTCCAAGACGCAGTGGAACGGTGAGGAAGGCAATAACATTAGTATGACAGAATAAGTTTGTAAATAATGGCAAGGGACAAGGGAACCTGTATTTTAAGGGAGCAGGTGATCATATACCGTGTTTCACGACTGGAAACTTCATCTAATCCTACATTCCCCAATGCTAGAACCCTAAATTCTAGCCACGGCCGACGTCGCATCGCGGGCTGCGGCGGCTGGCGCGGCGACCTAGCCACCTCAACGTTAAATCGTCACGCACCCAATTTGTTTATGTGCCAATCATAGTCTAAGAAGGGAGAAACTTTAGGTCGCCATTACCATCGAAGATGCGAAACAGTAGCGGTCAAAAGTTAGGGAAGTTTAATAAATAAACAACAAAATTGTCTCAAATTCACCGTGATTCACAAAATCAAGTGCAGAATACGATTCGTATCGAAATTCCCCAAAATCGGAGCTCGTACCGAAAAATACGAATCTTTCAAACAAATCGCGCGCCAGAAGTTTGGAAACTCTTCCATCATCAAAACACTTTCTATCTTCAGTGTCATGTTTTTGTCAGTTTCAAGTCAAACACTGAGTACTACGTAATTTCAAAATGGGTTCATGTTAAGTTCCCACCACACGAAAGTTTTAAACCTTACAGTCCGGATTTCGAAAGCGAACTTTTCCTGAGACGCTCAAACCGTGTGGAAGCAATACAATCAAGAGTTTCTGACACTGCCCGAGTCCAGTAAGCATAAAGCAAATGACCTTTCACAAAAACACCCTTATAAGGAATTTGGCTCCTCTCAGAGACTTCGAAGGGTGCTTAAGACGTTCCATTTCCATCACCAAAATACTTTCTCCTCAGTGTTATGTTTTTGTCGATTTTAGGTCAAACACTAAGTATTATGTAATTTTGCAATGGATTCATATAAAAAGGTTCCCACAAGAAAGGTTTTCCAAAATTTTTCTTCCTTTTTTTCCTCTTCCTTTTTTCCAAGAACTCCA